AAATTATTTTTAGGGTTAATATCGAATAGTGAACAAGTTCTATCTTAGACTGACTGTTCCCAGAAATCCACGGACACGCAAAAAACGTGCTTCTATGAACGTGCCATAGTTGGATGTGTGGCGCATCTCGAGAGGATGCGATTGCCATTGAGAAATGTTAATTTTTTCCTGTTTGAAAAAAAGCTTAATAATTAACAAGTAATAAAATCACTTTTTGAGGTTTTTCTCAAGAGCCTCCATTGTCTGCTTGATTTTCTCAGACTGTGCCAGAACACCGGCCCTATCATAGACGTCATCCAAATCTATCCCAGTGATATCGAGACTTGGAGCGTGCTGTAAAAAATGAGCAAATTTGGCGAGAAAACAGTTAGTGGACCCCAAAACAAACCCGAAAGCACAGAATTGAAAACGTACTGGTTCTTCTCTCCGAAGTTTTTTAAATTTTCTGAGCATTGTCTTCACATCGTCCATTTGGGTGGGCTGATGAAGATCCAAATCTGAATACTGGATTTTTAAGCAACGTGGAATGAGCGAAATGAACAATAGACTTAGCGGACATGATCATTCAAATCAGAACATATCAAAAGAAATATTTTCATAAACAGAACAGCTTCCGGCACACTTACCCTTCATGTTTGGTGTGAACAAAGTCGAACGAGCGGTATGCAGCGTGACGGTCTTCGTCATTGGAAGTGTCAGATCTTCATCTGAATCTTAAGCGGAATAGAAAATAAAAATACGATCTATTTCGAGCACTACCATAACACTTTTTGATGTAAAATGAAGAACATCGAACTCGTTCAGATTACTATGGTGAAGGTCGGGGTTGTCGATAGAACCCCGTGCACCACTGCAACTAATGCAAACCACTACTGAGAGAAAACTATCACTCAAACTCACAGCAAATGACTAAACAGTTTCGACCTTCAATTATAACCAAAAAAGAGCATATACATACTAAATAGAACTGGTAAAACAAAAAACCTAGAACAGGCTAACCTTCTTCGTCGCTTGAAATGCACGATTCACCGACTTTTACTCGACAGTCCGCAATCATCCTGTAAAATGTCAAAAATTAGGCTCAACACATATAAATTGACAAACAAGACACCCCGTGTAAATTTCGCTTGAATTCTTTTAAACTGCTTATACTGAGAATAAAAAATCGCAATCTCGTCCAGCAACTGACGCTTTAGTTCGCTTGGCAGCGCGCAATCGGATTCGCTCCATATCGTTACGCCGCTTCACTGTCTCGGGATCCATTGGTACACGAGTTGGTGAACAAAGAGCACTCGTCGACATTAAATGTTGTAAAACCACCTGAATATAAAGGTGAGCGTTTCTGATTGACGCACACCGATGATGCTATTACATATCGTGGGCGTAAATTACTTGAACTAAACGAATCGGACGGAACAAATTCATTATTTCGAATCCTGATTAATCAATTACAAAACATTTTCAACAGAATGGATACTAAACGACTACACTGAAATTGGCCTACAACAGTTTTGATACAGGGTCTTCAGTCGCCAGGAGGAGGCACCCCTCGTGAAGCGCAAATAGTCTTTATCGTCCTAGCTCCCTCCGAAGGATTCTGCAAGCGTCGGATCTTGGTACTTCGAGGACACATCACTGGGGCCGTTATAGGGAGAGTATTCCTGACCACATCGCGCACGCAACGGTTTCGACAAAAGTGGAGTCGGTCGCAGAATCCTTAGTAGTTACTCGTGCCAGCAGAGGGTGGCTTTCAATACCCGACCTGTTCAGAACGACTTTGCAGATACCATAAAGAAATCAAACATGTTCCAATAATGCGCGCATTTTCAATAATTCGCTCCCACCCAATATTATTGTGCTGATTATGAATCACAAGTTTCCTCGAATGTCTCCGTAGGAATTTTGAGTTATACTGAGAATAAAAAATCGCAATCTCGTCCAGCAACTGACGCTTTAGTTCGCTTGGCAGCGCGCAATCGGATTCGCTCCATATCGTTACGCCGCTTCACTGTCTCGGGATCCATTGGTACACGAGTTGGTGAACAAAGAGCACTCGTCGACATTAAATGTTGTAAAACCACCTGAATATAAAGGTGAGCGTTTCTGATTGACGCACACCGATGATGCTATTACATATCGTGGGCGTAAATTACTTGAACTAAACGAATCGGACAAACAAATTCATTATTTCGAATCCTGATTAATCAATTACAAAACATTTTCAACAGAATGGATACTAAACGACTACACTGAAATTGGCCTACAACAGTTTTGATACAGGGTCTTCAGTCGCCAGGAGGAGGCACCCCTCGTGAAGCGCAAATAGTCTTTATCGTCCTAGCTCCCTCCGAAGGATTCTGCAAGCGTCGGATCTTGGTACTTCGAGGACACATCACTGGGGCCGTTATAGGGAGAGTATTCCTGACCACATCGCGCACGCAACGGTTTCGACAAAAGTGGAGTCGGTCGCAGAATCCTTAGTAGTTACTCGTGCCAGCAGAGGGTGGCTTTCAATACCCGACCTGTTCAGAACGACTTTGCAGATACCATAAAGAAATCAAACATGTTCCAATAATGCGCGCATTTTCAATAATTCGCTCCCACCCAATATTATTGTGCTGATTATGAATCACAAGTTTCCTCGAATGTCTCCGTAGGAATTTTGGAGATGGCAAGAGCCTGTGAATTGAATGGAGCTCGGCTCGCTTTCCATTAAAGGCCCACCAGTGGCAATTTTTCACCTCAAAAGCCTGACTTAGCTTCAAATAACAAATGATGTCCATTGCTAGCCTCAATCAAAAAATGTATAAACTTAATGGAAATGGAGTGGCAAAGATGCTCGAGAGAAGTAAATTGTATAGCATAGCGAAAAACCACTGTATTAGACTTGCTCGTTGAGCATTCCGGGGCCGTAAGGTATGCTACCCGTACAGGAGGGGACCTCTCCCTCGTGAGGCATGCTCTCCCTAAAACCTATTCAGGAGACGGCAATGCACCACTTCTCCCCGATTGCATGTCAGTCGGGGATATATATCCGAAAGCCGGTGAGCGTGGCCCTTCCCTACGTTTTCGGGGAGAGCACACTTTACCAGGGAGGGTCCCTCTCCTTTCGGGAAGCACCCCTTACGGCCCCTCGTAATAGCTGGAGTCTTGGGTTTAAGTGCAACCCTAGAATCGCTTTTTTGCAGACAGTACGTCAAGTTGAAACAAAGCGTGCGTCCTGGCAAGAGAATACCCACACGAAAGCGTGCATGAAATAACCCATAAAATCATAATTTTGATGAACATTGTTCAAAGAACAAAAAACTTACGTGACGAGATTTCACCAATTTGTTCAAAAGATTCATGTGATAGAACCGGATATAATGATCGTATAGCACTTTATTGTTATCTCTGATTTGATTCTGCTGTGAAGGACGGTCTGGATTGAACCACCCGTCTGAAAAATAGCGCATGACTCAAGAAAAAGATTCAAACTGTGAGAACTACTAGCGAGGTAAAAAAAAAACAACAACAAGAAATGCAAACAGCAGCACTCACTTTTTAACTTCGACTGAACTCTATTGATTGGATTCCCGTGGACCAAATCCGTTCGCTTCGTGAACGCGCATGCAAGAGCGTGTTGCTCTTCGGCTACGTTTTTGATCGGTGGCAGAAATTGCTACAAATTAAAACAGCATTCTAATATACCTCAAGGAAACTTTATGAATGGCGCCCAGTCTTCAACGCGGATCCCACATCCGCGAGTGTAGTTGTGGAATACGCCACTATCGGGTTGAAGATGAAAAACAAAACAGCTCCTCAATGTCACCCATTTTCTGGGACAAGACATGACTCATCACCTCGAAGGGACAAAAATTTAAACAATCGGAGTCTGCCATACACCGCTTTTGAGAGAGAGTAATTTCTGTGTAACATGCTGGACAAAAATCAAAACTAACCCGAAGATGAGCCCGTGCCTCCTCCGATAAACTGTAGTATGTTTCAGCACAAACGACTTGACGAAACACATACTCCTGAAACTTCACGTTGTTACTCACATAAAGAACGTGTAGGAAAAAGAAAACGAACGCTGTGAACTAAGATGCTCGGTAAGAGAAGCAGGTCACCGTTGAAGTTCACTCTTGTCACCTCTGCATCAGCCTCTTTGCACAATGCTGAAATCAGTACCGAAGTAAATGAACCGCGTAGATAAACTTCCAATTCTGCTTCCGTTACCTTCCAAATCTAAAGTAGACGGTTCTACCAATGCACGATTAGCTTGGGCACCATCACTCAAGGTTTCCGGAAGCCGTCCCGACGACTGAATGATATATTAAGTCGTAAGGAAAGTTCTGGCCGTTTTCGATAATTCAAGCTCCATGGCATTATTTCTGGCTAGGGTTTCGACGGACTGCTACGTGTTACATATCGTTAGGAAGCACGTTTCTTGCTCTATCTAATCGCACTGCAAGCTTTGCTTTAGAGGGACTACTCCCACTTATTCGAAACATTAAATGCAACATGCTCAGTTTCACCTTTGCGAAATTTTGTTGACCATAGTCATGACCGAACAACTCATCCGAAGTTCATGGGTTATTGAGAAGACTCCATTCTACAAGGGGAGTCACGATCCGGACAAAAAACGGGTCGTTTTCGTTGGAGGAAAGATTGCAGAAGAAAGGCAGATGGTCCCACGGAACCGCGATTTTTCGCAACACCCTCCTTATCGACGTTCCCGTGCTTCTTAAGCTATCCCATGTAACTTGAAACCATAAATTGAATGCGCCCAATTTGGTAGCGGTCTTCTTAATTGTTTGAAGCACATTTGATCCCATCAAAAGTTTCACGTAATTTTTACCGAAGTTCGAAATCCAGCGATCACTATCGCCAATTTCGAGGCTATCGCCATCCCTATACAAGCTCTCCAAACTATAACTTCATGGCTTATTTTTTGCAAATGCATGGCCAAACGAATAATTTATATCATAAGCTGATTCCGCTTCTTTCTGCCCTAATTCGAGGTAGAAGAAGAAAATCGTGAGGATTGGCTTGGTGAGCATGCTGCATTCAAGGCTTTCAAAAAGTGGGACCAGTCCCTATTGAGCAAAGCTTACCGCGGATTTGGATAGAGCAAGAAACGCACTTTCTAATGATATGCAACTCGCAGCAGTCTGCCGGAAAGTTTGCTAGAAATAATGTCATGAAACTTGTACTGTCGAAAACGGCCAGAACTTTCCTTACAACCTAATAAATTCATATTGCAAATCACATAAAAACAAAGCATATGATGACTAGAGGCCACGAAATATGTTAAGCAACATTGGGAAGTGCACGCGCAAGTAAACTATAAGGAAGTGAGTAGGCCGGTCAAACTATGTTTATGTTTCCAAAATGTGGAGTTTTGTCTCTTTGAGAAGTGGTGGAGCACAGGTAAATGTTGCCATCATACATATGTTAACAAGGCATTCTGTCAGCGAAGATGTCACATTTTTAGGAATCGAATACAAATTCGTTTGCGGGTTCAACACAAAAATCCGATTTTTCCCGCGTTTTCTTCTGAGTGGCCGTGAATGTGATACTGCTACGCTTTCTGCACTGCATGCAATAACATGGTTTCATAAACATAGCCCCACGTGTCGGATTAACACGACAACATGGGGGCTCAATAACTAAGCACCATCTAGCAAGGTAAGGCGTAAGTTCTGTATAAAATATCGCACATCATTAAGAAAAACGAACCGAAGAGGTAGTCGATGGACGAGGTTTACGCGAAACGGGGACATCTGGTGTTCGTTCCTTCAAGCGACGAGGCGGTACAGCTGGGGTTTTGAATTTGTGATCATCTTTGAAAGACGTTGACGAACCAGCACCAGAACACTATAACGTCAACAAATAGACGAATATTTGGAGAGGTGGGTGGGGGAGACAAATAGAGCAAGAAAAGCAATGTCATTATGCAATGATGAGAAAAATTGTTTGAGGCAAGGTTCATATACTGCGAATCCGCAGTGAAAGTGTAAGGCTTAAAAAACCAATGCTTGTCTGCTAACTACTCACATTTTCCTGGGTCTCATTCCACATATCTTGTCGAGGATCATACTTCTGTTCATTATCCTGCATAGAGGCGGTACTTGGGTACTGGACATCAGTTGTTGCAGGTGGAAGATCCCCTTCAGAAGACATTCCCCTACAAATGAATGGTTCTAAATTAAATCTACACCAACAGAGATGGTCGATTTGATCTGTTTAGGGCTTCGTAATTGTCTAAAAAACAAACAAACAAATCTATGCACATAATCCAATAGAAAAACTGGTCTCCTTCCCGAATGAATGTTCACCAAATTTGAACCATTGAAGTGGTTCAGAATAACTTCTGAGTATATTCCGCTTACGAAATATCATCAAAATACCAGTGGTTTCCCAAATTCCAGAAGCTTGTGCAAAGCTGAGAGCACCCTCTAATGCGCCTAGTTTTTTTTTATAATGAATAGAGAAACTTTACTAGTCCATCAACCTTCAGTGATGAGGAATAGGGAGCACCCAGTAAATCCACAAATTGGATTCTATCGTATTACCTTGCAGAAACGGATCGCACACACCATATTATTCAAGGAACAACAACACTATTGCGTAGTTAAGAAAGTTTCCGCCGATTTTGACTCAAATTCAAAAGCGCTCATGGGTTCAACGGAGTATTTTAATCGAAACGAAAACTATCGCAATCCCTATACATTCTCCCACAAGAATCGTGTTCAGTCTGCGGACAAAAAAACTCGACGAAGGTCGTTTCACCAACATGTTGGATTCAAAGTTTGATCTCTTTGAAAAGACTATCAAGGTGGCTGGAAAGGTGGCAGTTGTTAAGGAAGAGTCTACCATGCTCGCAGCAAAGTTTCGTAGCTCAGGTAGTTCAACTTGTGCATGAGAGGAAGGGCGAGATGGGGCTGCGCAACTGTGGGGAGAGGAGTTGGAGACTCTTACTTGTCGCTTCCTTTCACTTTTTACCTTCCCCTGCATGTTTGAAACCCTTGCAGTTACGCCTAATTCAAAATCGACCTGATAAACAGCACGTGCAGACTGGTTTGATCAAACCTTCGATCTCTGCCAATCCCTGTTATCCGACCTTCACCCTAATCTTGAAGTTTTCATCACCGCAAGAAAAGGCATTTTGAATCACGACCGCACACTTTCACGTGGATTCGAACCAGACGCTCCGCTTGTTTTGCGACTCGCTTCCGCACATTCCTGACCAAATATGAGGGGGAACTAGAAATTCGGTAAAATAGCCTGATTCATGACTGAAAGTGGTAAAAATTGTTCCAGTGTAGAACGAACAATACTTTGAAATTAAACAGGGAAATCGCTCCTTTTGAGAAATGAAGCATTTGAAAGTGAGCTACTAAGACGTTGGAAACTTTCCAAGCAGCTCAATAGAAGAAAGAAAAACACAGAAACGAATAGTACAGCGAATTTTGCTAGTCTCAGCGCGTTGCACCGCCGCGCTTGCGATGGGGCGCACAATCCGAGTACTCTGTAGAATATTGAAGAAAGCTTTTGAGTACTCTCCGAGAAGCTGTGTAATGAAGGCTCTCAAAGCCGAGAGTACTTCTTTAGTTTAAAGCTTTTTTCTCCTGCAAGGCTTACGGAAACCTCTGTTCATTGCACCTTTTTTGAAATAATACTAGTGGTTCAAAATGTGATGTTATTGGATTCATGAAAAGTCCTGCACTACACCAAACCCATTTTAAGGCAGCCTCAGCAGGAGTACGATAGGAATACATAATTTCTGGGCAGTGTCCACAAATACTGCCTCCATAGGAACCCAGTTTCATTCCATAGGAACACAATTTCATTCGGCTCCCACTTCAGAAGTACATATTACAGAGGAGCTGAGAACCTCTCTTCCGAACAAACACAAAACAAATAAACGACATATTTATTATGAAAATCCGAATAATCCTTCTTTTCAAGGAAAATAGTATTCAGTCGAAATGAAGCGTGAAATCACTTCCTAATTACACAAAACCTCATTGAGAAACATTGTGGGACAGATCAAACCGAAACACCGAAGGGCAACATAAGCAGCAAATGCTTATGACATGTGTCATGTATCTTGCACTTAGTATGAACCACATTGGCTGTGCACGCATTAGCATGCATCACATTTACGGATTGCACCGTATAAAACAGAACCATTGATATTTTTATAACGCCTCCTGACTCCTTCCACTTTTGTGCATGCCCCGCCCACCAATAGCGATGATTCATTTCCTTCGCTGACCTCTATCCACTTTTTCCCGGCCTCCAGGACTTCTTGGAACCGAATTATAATTTCGGCGCAAACTCCGCCCACATTGGCGCACGCTCCACCCACCAATAGCAGTTGACCTCCCTTCCGTTGCAGACTCATCCACTTTTTTCCCGGTCTCCAGGACTTCTTGGAACCGAGTTATGATGTTTCGTGGATAACTCCGCCCACTTTGGTGCATGCCACGCCCACCGTTGACACTTGACCTCCTCCGCACACCTACACCCACTTTTCCCAAGTTTCGAGGCCTGTTTTGTGACTGAATTTGAAATCATGGTCCTCAGTACCACTCATTTCGACGCACGCCACGCCCACTGTGGGCGGGGCTCCGCTTAGATGATGTTTTTTTACTTCAAGATATAGTACACCCATTCCACACTTGACGCGGTCTCTCCAGGGGCGGTATTCAATCCTTCCCCCAGGGGTTGGGGGACGAAAATCCCTTTGAATTTATTTGTTTTTAACGATGTAGTTTCTTCATTTTCAATGCATGTTTACTTTGACATACATACATACATTAAACGTAGGCCCTTTATCAGGACAATCCCAGTTGGGAAGACAGAGAAAATTTAAAGGGATTTTCGTCCCCCAATCCCTGGGGAAGAATTGAATACCGCCCCAGGTGAATCTCCAAAAGGTAGGGAATTTCGTGACAGACACACGGCACCCGTACATAGCGCATTATTTCACAACCCAGGATTCTTGTGAAACATTCGCAAGGCGATTGCGGCCAAAAACAGCGATTAATAAATAAATACAAGCCAAAACATATCGAATATATACAGCAGGGATTAGATCTAGCCACGTAAACTCAGCGTCACTGGGAGTACTTCTCCAGTCGGGGAAATGTGGCAAAGAGACTTAGAACTCCTCCCTGACCCTAGAAAGATGAAATCATGTTTTCTGTGTACACATGAAATCATTGCCTTAGTGTTGATCCTGGAAGTCGTTTGCTCTTTTTACAGTGGTCCGTTGTGTTGCCATTTCCAGTCAGCCAAAGAGTTTCTTCTCTCTTGCCGTACTTACCTACCTATAAGATTAAAATCGGATTGGAAAGTGAGGAACTACGTAAAAAAAAGTTTACATCGGATTATTCATCTTTCCATAAGCTTCATAGAAAAGAGGTTCACGAGTTTCACTAGCAAGCTCTCTGCGAAGAAGCAAAGCAGTGGTCGACAAGTTTTCGCCTGAAAGGAATTCAATAATTGGGAGCTTGCTAACAAAGGTAAAAGAGTTTACTCTATACCATGAGTTATCTTCTGCATCACGGTTCTCATTTCAAACTCTACTTTTTTCAATTCATGTTCAGCTTCCTTGGTTCCTTTCGTGGCTAGCTGAGCAATATATGCAGACAAATAATCGAACAACTGAAAGAGGGAATCATCACGATGACATTTTGACTATTACTAGAGGAAAATTACCCTCTCCGTTCGAAGCCTAATGTTCATGCAAGCGTCTCTGCACGTGTCTTGCTCGGAGCTTTCAGGTGCTAACAAATTATTATTTGTACAGTGATCCGGTGAACTATCCAAATCTGCTCCATCTTCAACTTTAGTAGCTGTGCATTTTGACAAACCAACAACGGCACCACACTCTAGAAAACCGGTATGAGGAATGGAACACGTAAAAATCTCTATTTGTTTTACGCAGCATATATAGAAAAGCTCTGTGCACACCTGAAGGTTCAGGACTGGAACTATCCCCACGAGAACATCGCTCAGATTCACCGCATTTGTTCTTATTAGACAGCGGCGACAGGTCAGGCGGTGGTAGATTAGCGTTATCTTGGTGGCCAAAATGCATATCACAGAATTCAATGCGAGTAACCCCATCGGGTTTACACACAGACTGAAACGAGATCAATTTATTCTCACGCCGCTCATAAATTTACTGCGAGACATCACCTTCAAAAAAGATGTACATGTTGGTGCAGGTGTGCTTCCATGACCTGCTTCTTCGACGGACGTCACCTTCTTTTCACTCCAAAGAGATCTAAAGGAAACGTTCAGCTGTAGACCGCCCAGACATGTTTACGTGCTCTTTACACTGGACGTCTACATGCTATACGAACTCATAGTATTAGTACTGATATGACACTTACACATGAATCCGAATCAATTTTTTTCTCAAAATATTTCTTCATTCTACGGATAAATATTTTAAAAGATTATGGGCCGTATGCTAATTTACCCCGAAGGGGTTGAGGGACGAAAGTCCTTTAATTTTCTCTGTCTTCCCAACTGGGATTGTGATAAAGGGCCTACATTTAATGTATGTATGTAGGTAAAAGTAAACATGCACTGAAAATGAAGAAACTATATCGTTCAAAACAAATAAATTTAAAGGAAACTTTGGATCACTCAGCTTCGGGGAAGCATAGCATACGGACCTATGTCTAAGGCATTTTCTGGGAGTGTAAAATCGTAACAGAGCCAAACAAAACGCATAAAATCTTATCGAGTGAAACAGACGTGAAAGAGTAACGATAAAAGGCAGCCCTATGAAACATGAGACCGTACCGTATGCATTTGTAGAACTTTGTCTTCTTGCCATTATTTGAGTAGGTTTTGTAGCATGCCCAGATGTCCACTTTTTTACAATCGCGCTCCTCTTTCCAGACCTGAATAGCTGAATAAGGCAGTACGCATGTAGCACTGGAACTGGTCACTAATCATCTGAGCCAATTAATACCACTTGAAGTGTACTACTCACAACAAAATCCTCCCATTTCTTGAAATCGCATGTATGTGATTTCACCTTGGAAATCCGTGTTTCAAATTAGCATGTTCAATCAGCTTCCTAAAACTGAAGAGGCAGGCAAAACATTGCGGGCATGCCATAAGTTGCTTATTATTGGTACCGGGCGATGCAAGAGGTTTTCTATGACGGCTGAAAAAAATTAACAAGCATTATGCAATAGGTAGTTATTCAATTGAACCACATACTTATATTTATGCTTGCTGATAGAGACTTTCGATGAACCCCTGAAATCACACATGGGGCATTTATGTGGTTTCAGTGCCATGATCGCATCCTTCTTCTGCTTCACGAGTGAAGAGGCAGTTTCACGTCCAATATCGCCATGCATTCGGCGCAAGTGTCGCAGGTAATTGTTGAATGATGAGTGAGGAGAATCGCATAGGGAACACCACATTGTATCCATATCCTAAAACGTCACAGAGTTTCATAGTGGATATAGCAACACTCATTCGGTGCTCTGTAACAAACAAATCTATCGCTAGGCTATAGTCTGACATAAGGATCCTCTTGATACGTCCAGCTTGCAATGGTGTTCTTGCTAAAGGCAGAGGCGATGGATGGGAGGCCGAAGCTAATTCAGGGACGCCATTGGTGGAAGAGCTTAGGAAGTTAGTCCAACCACACCGCTTAGCATGTTGAGGAAAAAGTTTGTATCGATTTCACCTCCACCCCTACGCCTTCCACGAATAACGTCTCCCAATCAAATCAACCTCCTAGTCATTACCTTAAACACTTACCTAAATACCACTTACTTAAATTACCTCACTACCTTAAACATCGGCGCTAGTGCTAGGGGGAGGGAGGAGGGCACCGCGGCATAGAGCATTTCAGGTTTTTAGAAACACGACAAATACTTCAGTTTCAATGCATCATTATAAGTTCCCTTATAGCATAAGCAAAGAGTTCTCAAACCCTGAAATTCCCATGCTGCGGAAAAATAGAATACTAATTCTGGGATAAATACTGCGCCGGAATGTCCCTCGCCCCCTCCTCTTTTGAGCAGGTTATAATATTTGTGAATGTCACAGTCCCAGCGGTGCTTTGGCAACCTCACTAGCATACTTTCCAAGGAGGACTGCGGGGTTCTACTATGTGTTGAGACCGTTAGAATCTATCCAGCTCCTCCAAAAACAATATTATAATTCTCTGCGAAATCCCTCACTTCAAAAAAAGAAACTATCCCAACGAAAAGGTGAGGAAATTGATAAGGTGTTCTGAAAAAAAAGCTTCATATAATGGCCATCAAAATGACCTAGTGATTGAACATTGATAAAGGTGCTAAGGCACTAGAGGGTGGTTTAAGAACTCAAGCTCTAGCGCACCAAGACACAGCAAAGTAGTTACCAGTAAATACAATTTTTCGCAGGGTAGGAAGCTCTAGGGAGCTACCATTCTGCTGGTGTAAGAATGGTGCCAAACATGCACTGAAATAGACTCGTCGCTGAACATACACCTGCAAAAGCCCAGGATGTGTTTCCGAACGAGTTTCTGGCGACGCGACATCTGAATTCTGCGCTGATCCTATTCACTAGTTATGTTATCAGGGCCTTTATCCCTTCAACGTCCCCCAAGAAATGCCTTAGACAAATCGTAATTTTGAAGCTTGCAGTGATTTTAGGGACGCAAATGTTGCAGTATAGGGCAACGAAGCCCCGAGGTGGATGTGGAAGTGATAGCAGTGGTTCAAGCACCTCGTAGCGATGCTGCCCCTCTTGGAATGGACTTGAAGGTCGACTAAAATAAACTCTGTCCAAGTAGGCCAAGTCGCAAAGTTACCTGCACTGCCTGAGGTTTCCGCACCTTCCGGGATGATCTTCTCGACATTTTGCTGGACGTTACGACTGAAAAAAAAACTTGCTTAATCGGAAGTCAAAAGCTTTACCGCAAGCACGATATCAACTTACCTTGTCGAAGGCTCTCTACAAGAACTAAAGTCAAGGACGGCGAACATTTTGAGCACCGCAGCCTAGGCGTGCAATTGGTGTTGCGTGCAGTTGCGGACACACACCCTAACTGCCAACCCCTCACTAAATAAATCCTACCACAATTATTGGATGGATTTCCATTGCTTAGGATGGATGTCCTTGATTGCGGAAAAAGGGTTTAACTTTGCTAGTGTGTGTACTAAGTCATTGCGTGTCCTATGTTTGGTTTTAGGATATTTAAAGACCAGACGGGAGCAAATAAACTGTCGCCTAAAGCTAACCTTGAAAAAATGCAGGACGAGTTTTTTTGGCAGGCTGTCGATTGTGGAACGTAGTTCGCTGCAGGACCATGACCCTCCCTTTAACATCACTTGATTTTGGCGCTTCCTTCGGCATTGTTGGAAGATGGGTAGGCTTTAGGCGCGGTTAGGAGTCTAGCGACACGAAAGAAAAGGCAAAAGTTGGGCGCAATGTGGCTCGGGGAAGGGGGTGGGCAGCAACTCGTAACACACGACAGATCCACGGAAATTTTCACTTCTGGGACTAAGGTTTGGAAGAGAAAGAATCCGAGCTGCGTATGCAATTTTTCAGTCGCTCCGGAATTCGTCTGTGCGTTAGGCTCAGTGGCCTTTCGACAGACTACTCCCCTCTCCCAGCGGCACACTGCTGTTACTACACACTTGCTCTTGCATGGAATGCACATATACTGAAGGCACATCACTAACTGTCCGCGTGAATATGACAAAAGGAAACCAAGGGGAACGAGGCGCTTATGAAAGCGGCAGCCGAGATACACTCACAGCGATCCGATCACCCACAATCGCGATATAGTGCACCTATATAGCGAGCATGTTCGGTCGCCCTCTATGCGAGACCAGACTAGGATCAGGCGCGGTCCATGACCTATATAAGGAATCCAATATTTAAATGGCTCTTCAGTCGTCTGGAGTAATAAAAATATCGGTGTCCTAAGCAATTATACCCAAGGCCTTATACTGAAGCGATCACAAAGATGATCATGACTCTGTAATCAAGCCTTGTCGTAATCACATTCCAGCACACATTAATCAACAAACATCGACCAAAAACACCGAGTTTGCTATGAGAGAAGAACACGCGATCATTTGTGGAACAAGTATCTCTGGACGCTTAGCTCCGTGACATCAGCGTCGTCGACATCTAATTGAGATGCAGGAGACGAATGAGAAGGCACTTCCAGTCCATTTGTCGGGCTCCACGCCCATGTTTGCTCACATCAACCACCACACTCCGTTGCACGAAAAGAAATTCAAGATTAGCTTTAGCGTGACCCGAACAGAGAGTTAGTGCGGGGAACTCGACCCGGATCGCCCATCTCTGTCGGGCTCCACGTCTTCGGTAAGATGGCCGTGACACCGACATTCATTGAGAAGTTGAGCCGCAAACACAATCTGTGTAGCGCTAAACTACTGAAGAAGGCAAAAGAGGGATAGCAGACGCAATTTTAGTATGGTTGATTTGCATGCGCTTAGTTTAGTTGGACACTAAAAGCGCTCCGCGGCACGCATCTCGTGCCAAAGATCGAGTTTACTCTCAATATCACACAAATATTAGTTCGTGCGCACATGATATATGAAGAAAGTACATTAGCAATAGGCGATCTAACGGTGCCCAACGTATGGATGTGCCCTGCACACGTCACACACTTCAAACACTCGTGAGCGACACTACACCACCGAACTCGAGCGAAAGATATTGCAGGCCACTTAAATTGATGACTGAGTCATCTTAGTTCAATCGCGTACTGCCCTACTATATAGATATACAGCACTCGTAAAATAGAGTTTCTACTATCTATCAGAACATCACGACAACTGACTGAATGCTCATATAATATAGTAAACATCACACTGTAACGAATAGTTGACACCCAACATATCCCGACAAGTTGAAGTGCCTCGACAAAGTATCATTCAGCTCTCCTCCAGCAGGCATCACATAGAGACGAGAAACATCATTGCCTCGAAAATTCGCTAACGAAGAAAGCTAGAGATCCACAACGAAGTGTGATACAGGATATTTAATGTAAATATGAGTGGGTCAGCTGCCAATACGCGCGTCCTAATCAAGCGATTGGGGAGTCGCCAAAGATTCGCAATGATTTTTGCAGAAATACTGAAACACAACTTATTATACGAGACGTGCTCTCACTTCTCGCACCACGACAGATACTGATGTAATAGAACAGGGCTCTTCATAGTACCGAGGAGTAACCTTCAAGGTTTGAAGCTTGTAAATAAGTAAAAGCTCACAATAATAGTTCGGATCATTCTGTTTCCACAGAATGTGATGTTAATTGAACTATCGATGGAACAAAAGTGGCTCTAATGCACTACGAATCCAACACGCGTGCATTAAGCCACATTCCCTCCTGCATAGAGAACATATGCGTGACACCAAGACAATATAAATTATTCCTTGAGAGTGAGAGCGTTATCTCCCCACACAACCGCCGCCATCAATTTTGGTGCTATAACTGCCCTCCACAGAACCGGCGGGCGAATTCAGACATGTTTTCCATTCCATCTATCAAGTGTCTAAATGATTTCAATTTGTTTCACTGAGTCACGTTCCGCTAGTTCCAGGTATTGGAAAGCCGTGACCAACTTCCATTCGTCGTCCGATGACAACTCCATATGCCATGATTACTAGATACACATTTACGATTTGGGAGCGTAACAAGAAGAAAGCCCAGTCTCTCCTAGAACAACGAACAAGAACAAATAAAACGACATTGTGGAAGTTCCAGACGATAAATACCATTTCAAATATCACTTATTATTGAGAAATCTTTAAATTATTGAGAAATTGAGAATTCCTTCTGCGATAACCTACCTACGTAGATACTATAGGGTAAAATGGTCAATATTAACACGTCAGACAGACTGAAGTCGCGATCGAGCTCTGTCCTAATTAGCGAGCCAAAACTGCTCATCTGAGAGGGTTGAAATCTAATATTCATGACGAGGGAAAGCAGCATCACGGCCGATACAACATTGTTCGTCCAGTGCTGATGGGTCTTATCGATGACAAGAGCTGGCGTGTACGGTTCATGGTAGCGGAGAAGCTAACCGAGGTATCTCTTAGCTAAGTGTCTATGAAAGTGCTGAGAGAATGGATTTGTTGACTTGATCCGCTGCAGATCCAAGAAGCTATCGGTGAGGACATGACAATGACTGAACTCGTTCCTGCGTCTTTCCACCGTAAATCCTGCTTGCAGAAGGCTACACATCAGAGGCAAACGATGAAGTGTCTCTATCCGCGACGCATCGGGTCACGCGCCGAAACAAACTGAGAGTGCGCAAATAGTTTTCTTGAGCGTGCAACAATAGCTTTCAATAAAATTTCGTAGTCATACTGAACTGTCGATACGAATACCGACAGATATTGCATAGATTCGTACACAACTGCGAGCTCAAGAAATAATACGTATTTTTATCTTGCTAATAACTTAATATGAACCACTTTGGCTGTGCACGCATTCGCGTGCATCACACGGGAATTACAGCGGTATAAAACAGAGCCATCGACATTTTTATAGCGCCTCTTGACTCCTCCCACTTTTGTGCATGCCCCGCCCACCAGTAGCGATCGACTTCACTTCCTTTGCTGACCTCTATCCACTTTTTTCCCGGCCTCCAGGACTTCTCGGTCCGAATCAAAAGTTCGACGCGAACTCCGCCCACATACGCGCACGCTCCACCCACTAATGGCAATTGGCCTCCCTTCCGCTGTCAAAGTTTGTCCCCAGTCTCCAGGACTTTCTGGAGTGAGTTGTAATATTTCGTGGATAACTTGGAACACTTTGGTGCTGCCACGCCCACCGTTGACACTTGATCTCTCCTCTTTAACCTTACCTTTGTAAACCTTTTTCCAGCTTTCTAAGACTTGGAACTGAATTGACTTGTAAGAAATGCTGACCACTTCGGAACACGTTCCGCCCATTATGGGAGGGCCTCCGCCACGTCATGTGTGCTGGAAACACCTTAGACATTGCTCCCTTACACTAATTTTTTCTGCTCTGTAGGCTTTCTCCTAACCGAGTTATGAATTTTTTTCATTAGAGCACTGCTTTTTTAGAGAACGCCCGCCCACCGAGGGTGGGTCTCCCCATTCGATCTGGCTTACCAACGCACACCTATACCCACTTTTCCCCAGTCTCGAGGCTGTTTTGTGACTGAATTTGAAATCATGGTCCTCAGTACCACTCATTTCGACGCACGCCACGCCCACTGTGGGCGGGGCTCCGCTTAGCTGATGTGTGTTTTTACTTCGAGACCTGGTGCCACCCATCCCACACTTGACCCGGTCTCTCCAGGTGGATCCCAGAAGCTAGGGAATTTCGTGACAGACAGACACACGGCACACGTACATAGCGCATTATTTCACAACCCAGGATTCTTGTGAAACATTCAAGGCGAACTGCGGCCAAAAACAGCGCTTAATAAATAAAAACGCGTCAAAAAATAACGTAACATATACAGTAGGGATTAGATCTAGCCACGTAAACTCAGCGTCACTGGGAGTACTTCCCCAGTCGGGGAAATGTGGCAAAGAGACTTAGAACTCCTCCCTGACCCTAGAAAGATGCAAATCATGTTTTCTGTGTACACATGAAATCATTGCCTTAGTGTTGATCCTGGAAGTCGTTTGCTCTTTTTACAGTAGGTCCGTTGTGTTGCCATTTCCAGTCAGCCAAAGAGTTTCTTCTCTCTTGCCGTACTTACCTACCTATAACAATAAAATAGCGGATTGGAAAGTGGGAACTACGCAAAAAAAGTTTACATCGGATTATTCATCTTTCCATAAGCTTCATAGAAAAGAGGTTCACGAGTTTCACTAGCAAGCTCTCTGCGAAGAAGCAAAGCAGTGGTCGACAAGTTTTCGCCTGAAAGGAATCCAATAATTGGGAGCTTGTTAGCAAAGGTAAAAGAGTGCACTCTATACCATGAGTTATCTTTTGCATCACAGGTTCTCATTTCAAACTCTACTTTTTCCAGTTCATGTTCAGCTTCCTTGGTTCCTTTCGTGACTAGCTGAGCAATATATGCAGACAAATAATCGAACAACTAAAAAAGGGAATCATCACGATGGCATTTGACTATTACTAGAGGAAAATTACCCTCTCCGTTCGAAGCCTAATGTTCATGCAAGCGTCTCTGCACGTGTCTTGCTCGGAGCTTTCAGGTGCTAACAAATTATTATTTGTACAGTGATCCGGTGAACTATCGAAAACTGCTCCATCTTCAACTTTAGTAGCTGTGCATCTTGATGAATCAATAACGGCATCCACACTCTAAAAAATCGATATGAGAAATGAAACACGTAGAAAAAATCTCTATTTTGTTGTTATGCAGCATACGGAGAAAAGCACTGAGCACACCTAAAAGTTCAGGACTGGAACTATCCCCACGAGAACATCGCTCAAATTCACCACACTTGTCCTTATTAGACAGCGGCGACAGGTCAGGCGGTGGTAGATTAGCGTTATCTTGGTGGCCAAAATGCATATCACAGAATTCAATGCGAGTAACCCCATCGGGTTTACACACAGACTGAAACGAGATCAATTTATTCTCACGCCGCTCATAAATTTACTGCGAGACATCACCTTCAAAAAAGATGTACATGTTGGTGCAGGTGTGCTTCCATGACCTGCTTCTTCAGACGGACGTCACCTTCTTTTCATTCCAAAGAGATCTAAAGGAAACGTTCAGCTGTAGACTGCCCACACATGTTTACGTGCTCTTTACACTGGACTTCAATACATGCTATTCGAGCTCGTAGTATTAGTACTGATATGACAACCTACACATAAATCCAAATCAATTTTTCATAAAATTGTTGTCACTCTGCGAACAAATGTTTTAGAGATATATGGGCACTATTGCACTATTACAACCCCAGAGGGGGTGAGATGGGTCAAAAAAATAATTTTCGCTGAAACTTTGCTATGGGGGTTATCGAGGGTCCTGATCACGAATATGACATCCATTTTTGGCGCTGGCGCCAAATTGGCGCCATTTGGCGCGGCGCCACGACTGATTATCACCAAATTCGCTGTAAACTTCTGTATAGGGGTTATTTGGGGCCCTGATCACGAATATGACACTCGTTTTTGACATTCGTGCTGTTTAACGCATATTTTCTGCTTTTCTAAGCTTTCTCACCTATAGCGCCTAAGACTAAGCTTAGGGGAGGGGAGTGAAACTCCGGAGTGGGTAAACCACGCACCGTGTGGCAAAAGTTGGAGTGTGTCAGACCACAGGGGAGTGGCCTACTCACTTTGGAGCCCTCCACTATTCAAAGGCTTAGTCCTGATTGCGATCTAATTAGTGCGAGGGCGCAGACGAGCAGGAAATAGGCGCCGAATAGCGCTAACAACAAAAACGAATGTCATATTCGTAATCAGGACCCCAAATAACCCCTATACAGAAGTTTACAGCGAATTTAGTGGGAATCAGGCGCCACTTGGCGCCAAATGGCGCCAATTGGCGCCAAATTGGCGCCAGCGCCAAAAATGAATATCATATTCGTGATCAGGACCCTCGATAACCCCCATAGCCGAAGTTTCAGCGAAAATTATTTTTTGACCCATCTCACCCCTACTGGGGTTGTAATAGTGCAATAGTGCCGATATATGTATAAGGCATTTCTTGGGGTGCAAAATCGTAACAAAGCCAAACAAAACACATGAAATCTTACCCAGTGAAACAGACGTGAAAGAGTAACGATAAAAGGCAGCTCTATGAAACATGAGACCGTACCGTATGCATTTGTAATACTTTCTCTTCGTGCCCCTAACTGTGTAGTCTTTGTAGCATGCCCAGATGTCCATTGTTTTACAATCGCGCTCCTCTTTCCAAACCTGAATAGCTGAATAAGGCAGTACGCATGTAGCACTGGAACTGGTCACTAATCATCTGAGCCAATTATTACCACTTGAAGTGTAATACTCACAACAAAATCCTCCCATTTCTTAAATCGCATGTATGTGATTTCACCTTGAAATCCGTGTTTCAAATTAGCATGTTCAATCAGTTTTCCAAAACTGAGGATGGCAGGCAAAACATTGCGGGCATGCCATGTAGTTGCTTATTATTGGTACCGGGCGATGCAAGAGGTTTTCTATGACGGCTGAAAAAAATTAACAAGCATTATGCAATAGGTAGTTATTCAATTGAATCCACATACTTATATTTATGCTTGCTGATAGAGTCTTTCGACGAACCCCTGAAATCACACATGGGGCATTTATGTGGTTTCAATGCCATGATCGCGTCCTCCTTCTGCTTCACGAGTGAAGAGGCAATTTCACGTCCAATATCGCCGTGCATTCGGCGCAAGTGTCGCAGGTGATATTTGAAGATTGATTGAGGAGAACCGCATAGGGAGCATACCGTCTCCATTTCCTAAAACGTCACAGCGTTCCATCCCTACTATATGTAATGCGCTGTCTGTCTGTCTGTCCGTCTGTCACGAAATTCCGTATTAAGCGAACAACAACCTACTGGGTCCAGGTCAAGTTTGGGATGGGTGTACCATATCTCCTAGAAGTAAAAAACACACATCAGCCAAGCGGAGCCCCGCCCACAGTGGGCGTGGCGTGCATCGGTTGATTTCAAATTCAGTCACAAAACAGCCTCGAGACTGGGGACAAAAGTGGGCATAGGTGTGCGTTGGTAAGCCAGATCGAATTGGGGAGACCCACCCTCGGTGGGCGGGGCGTTCTCTAAAAAAGCGGTGCTTTATGAAAAATTCATAACTCGGTTAGGAGAAAGCCTACAGAGCAGAAAAGAAATTAGTGCAGGGGAGCAATGTCTAAGGTATTTCCAGCACACATGATGTGAACGGAGGCCCGCCCACAATGGGCGGAGCGTGTCCTGAAGTAGACAGCGTTTTCTACAAGAGCTCATAAATCGGCTCCGAGATGACTTAGAGACCGGAAAACAGTGGATAGAGGTTAGGAGAGGAGGGAAGCTAAATGTCAGGGCTGGGCGTGGCTTACACCAAAGTGGGCGGAGTTTGCAACCAGGCTCATAACTCGGTTCCTAGGAGTCCCGGAGTCCGGGAAAAAAGCGTATAAGGGTTGGCAGAGGGAAAGGGGTCAACTGCTGTTGGCGGGCGGAGCATGCATTAAAGTGGGCGGAGTTTGCCACGGTACTTCATAACTCGGTTCCAATAAGTTCCGGAGATGGGAAAAAGTAGAAAAGGTTGGGGAAGAGATGATAGTCAACTGCTATCGGTGGGCGGGCATGCACCAAAGTGGGCGGAGTTTGCCACGGTACTTCATAACTCGGTTCCAATAAGTTCCGGAGATGGGAAAAAGTAGAAAAAGGTTGGGGAAGAGATGATAGTCAACTGATATCGGTGGGCGAGGCATGCACCAAAGTGGGCGGGGTTTGCCACAAAGATACGTAGCTCGATTTCGTCCCCTACAAGACCTCATAATTCGGCTCCGAGATGACTTAGAGACCTGAAAAAATGTGTATAGAGGTGAGAGGAGGAGTAGAGGTTGAATGTGAACGCTGGGCGTGGCACACCCCGAAGTGGGCGGAGTTTGCCACCACTCTCATAACTCGGTTCCTAGAAGTCCGGCGACCGGGAAAAAAGTGGTAAGGGTTGCGGAGGGAATGGGGTCAATCGCTTTTGTTGGGCGGAACATGCCCGAAAGTAGGCGGAGTTTGCTACGAAATTAATAACTAGGTTCTTAGAAGTCCCGGTGACCGGGAAAGAAGTGGACTGAAGTTAGAGAAGAAGGGAGGTTTGAAAGCTGTTGGGGCAGGGGTCACCGGAGTGAGCGGAAATTCCCACTCGCCGTCATAACTCAACACCCTGACGACCCTTAGTAGAGGAAATCATTGCACAGAAGCTAGCAGTGGAGGGAGGTGAAATGCGATTAGTGCATCGAAGTGGTTAGCGCGAAGATCCGCTATGGCATTATCAAATATTGGTAGTGTATCGGGCCAAGTTTGAGAATTTACGCCGTTCCAATCCACATCGCCGCAGAACTGTGTGATGCACGCGAATGCGTGCGCAGATAAACTGGTAGTTAAATATAGCAACACTCATTCCTACTCTGTAACAAACAAATCTATCGCTAGGCTATAGTCTGACATAAGGATCCTCTTAATGTGTCAGCTCTGCAATGGTGTTCTTTCTAAAGGCAGAGGCGATGGATGGGAGGCCGAAGCTAATTCAGGGACGCCATTGGTGGAAGAGCTTAGGAAGTTAGTCCAACCACACCGCTTAGCATGTTGAGGAAAGAGTTCGGATCGCCCTCCCCCCACCCCCATGCCTTCCACAAATAACGTCTGCAAACTAGACCAGTCTCCCAGTCATTACACCCCTCACTACCTCATACATCGCCGCTAGTGCCAGGGGCAGGGAAGACCGCGACGAAAAGCATTTCAGGCTTTTAGAACCACGACAATACTTCAGTTTTAGTGCATCATTATTAGTCCTCTTACAGTATAAGCAAGGAGTTCTCAAACTCTGAAATTTCCACCCTGCGGAAAAACTTGATCACTGATGCTGGGATGAATACTGCGCCGTGATGTCTCTCCCTTCCCCCCCCCCTTTTTTTTTGCGGATTATAATTTTCATGAATGTCGCAGTTCCAGCGGTGCTTTGGCTACCTCACTAGCACACTTTCCAAGAAAGACTGCAAGATTCTATTAACCATAAGTGTTGGGACCGCTACAATCTATCGAGTTCCTACAAAAATGGTATTATAATTCTTTGACACGAAATCTCTCACTTCGAAAAAAATGAAACTATTCCAACAGAAAGGTGAGGACATCGAGATGTTCTGAAAAAAAAGCTAATATAATGGCCTGGTGACTCAACAATGATAAAGGCGCTAAGGCACTAGGGGGTGGTTTAAGAACTCAAGCTCCAGTGCACCAAGACATGGCAAAGTAGTTACCAGTAAATACAATTTTTCGCAGGGTAAGACGCTCTAAGGGGAGCTAATCATTTTGCTTGTGTAAGAAGTGCCAAACATGCACGAAAATAGAAAGGAATTCGTCGTAGCTGTGAAAGCCTCGCGTGCGCTGAGGCGCGATGAACCTTCCCAGTGCAACAGCGAAAGGTAAACATGTGGAGCAACAATTTTGAGGGTGTGATTCACTAGGACAGAAGGCGACTTTTTCGCGTTTCGCAGCGCGAAACATTTTCCGCTGCGGGAACCTCAGGTCCACTGCTGATCATGAGTGGACCTGGTCTATCGATCAGTCAATCGGAGATCGTCAGCATCGAAACGGCGGTGCGAAAATCCTCTAGCAACGCTAATAGGGCGTGGTTTACTACGTCGATACGTATCTAAACCTTTTCGCATCCGCGTTCGCGCGTGTGGAAATTCTCCTGGTCGATACGTATACAATTCTTTTCGCGAATTCGAATATTCGGATGATTCGAAAACTGTGAGCAATGCCTAAGGACACAAATGTTGCAGTGTAGTAGGGCAATGAAGCCCCGAAGTGGATGTGAAAGTGAAAGCGAATTGATTCAAACACCTCGTAGCAATGCCGCCCCTCCTGGGATGGACTCGAAGGTCGACCAAAATAAACTCTGCCAAGTAAACAAAGTTGCAAAGTTACCGGCACTGCCTGCCACACCTTCCGGGATGGTCTTCTCGACATTTTGCAGACCGTTACGACTGAAATACATTTATTTAATGGGAAGTCAAAAGCTTCACTGCTTCACGACAAGCATAATATCAGCTTACCTTGTCGAAGGCGCTCCTTATTCCTCTCGTTTTCAAAGTTACGATTAGGCGTCAATTTAAATATTTTGCGTGCACTTGATATTGTGACCACACTCGATTTGACGTCTAGTTAGCAATGTGATTTG